ATACCCTCACTCTCATTTAACCACTTTCAGATGCTTCCCACCACCATTCACTGAAGCCTGAGCTTAAGCTTATAGTAATTTTCTTCATAATCCTAAAAGATTCATCATCCATTTATATGATCCACCCAGCCTCAAAATTCTTTGAGGTTCATTTCTGTTCAACTTTAGCCACCCACTTCCAGTGACACACTAGGTTCTCACATCCGGAGACTGCTCTACCTGGGACATTTTAAAATCCAATATGCTATTCTTTGATCACCTTTATTCTTTGGTGAGTTTATTTCCTCCATTTTCTCCCTTCTGTTGGGCTCCTCACTTTTCTTCCTTCCATGCCCAACCTGGATTTCATGGTGTATCTAAAGCAACACCTTTGACTGGAGTCCTTATCCTTTTCTTATATCTAATCTAACCCAATAACAGTTCACCTTCTTCACTACGATGGTTGAGGACAAACAGAGAAAAATCATGAATGACAGAGCTCGGCCTTTGGGAAAACTGACTTAGCCTCATTCCTACTCCCATTTTTTTAGGCATCAAACATGAATCAGGTTGAGCCAATCTGATAACAGTGATAGGTTCAGAGACAAGCATTTAATCTGAGACAGTCTAAGCATAGTGAATATTTAGATTTTTATTGGCAATGCTAGGAAAAACATTATCAAAGTTATCAAGGAAGCATTTAGCTTACCTGGATCTTCAAGAGAAATCAACCTTAAGGTAAAGCTGATATCTAAGATATGAAAGAAATCTGATCCTGATGATATCATTGGGCCACTGGTTCCAGACTAAAGCCAGTGAATCCCACTTAACCTCACAACTTTTTAGTTATATAAACCAATCAATCTCCTTTCAGCAAGGGTTTCAATTATATTTTCTATTGATGATAAGCACAAGAATCCTGATACATAATATTTGGGTTGAGACTGGCATCAATAAATTATACTAATACCTTGGTTGACGTCCAATTGCCAATTTTAGTTTTAATTCCTGGTTATCAGTAATCAGAGCTTTCTTCTTCCTCTAAGCCAGTACCTTGCTCATAATAGATGCTCAGAGAATATTTACGGAACCAAATGAGCAAGGCAGGATCTGGAACAGGCATCTGAGAGGGGTGTCTTATCCAAATTTGAACATTGTCTTCTAAAAACAGTAAAACCAACTTTGGAACAATGTTTCTTAAAGATTTTTGGCTACAACCATAATGAAAGCTTTATATCATGATTGGTACACAAAAAAAATCTATAAAACTTAAAAATAAAATTCAAAGAACACTTGCGCTCTACTATATGTGAAGCACTCTATTTTCTCTTCCATTTTTTAAAATGTCTCATCAGGGGTGCCTGGGTGGCTCAGTCGGTTAAGTGTCCGACTTCAGCTCAGGTCATGATCTCACAGTTCGTGGGTTCGAGCCCCACGTCGGGCTCTGTGCTGACAGCTCGGAGCCTGGAGCCTGCTTCAGATTCTGTGTCTCCCTCTCTCTCTGACCCTCCCCTGCTCACGCTGTCTCTCTCTCTTTCTCTCAGAAATAAATAAAAACATAAAATAAATAAATAAATAAATAAATAAAATGTCTCATCATTACCCATCAAATTGATCTCACACTGCTCACAGGATGATGATCTATATATATATATATATTAAAAAACCACACACAGTCCTAGTAGTTCTCTCAAATCAAAGCGGGAAACTTCTATGACTTGCTAGTAAACAGATCAGACAAGGCAAATTACACAGAAGAAAATAAAATACCCTGGTCCAGGCACCCTTGCATGTAGATCAGATCAAGAGCCTCATGAGTGCCTCTACTTCTTATCTTACTTCCCCTTCCTCATCATGCAGTGTTATTATCTTGCTCAAGTCTTTACAGCAGTCCTCAGTCTATAAGACTCACATGTTAGACTAGAGATCAGAGTCATGGCAAGGAATCCACTAAATGTCCCAAACACTACATGTAGCATTTAAAATATTTCAAGCATATTACACAATGACAATTATTTGTCAAAGTAACATGCATGTATTTCTCAATCAAGAGTTACTAAAATTTGGGGCACCTATGTGGCTCAGCGGGTTAAGCGTCCAACTCTTGATTTTGGCTCATGTCATGACCTCACAGTTCGTGAGACTGAGCCCCATGTCAAGCTTTGTGCTGACAGTACAGAGGCTGCTTGGGATTCTGTCTCCTTCTCTCTCTGTCCCTCCCCACTTGCTCTCTCTCTCTCTAAAAAATACAAACATTAAAAAAAAAAAGGTTACTGGGGATGAGCACTGGGTGTTAAATGGAAACCAACTTGACAATAAATTATTAAAAAAAGTTACTAAAAATTTTTTTCTCTTCTCCAAAACCTTTAATTTTTTGAAATGTTAAACCAGATACCATCTGCAATTAACAAAAATTGCTTTTCATAATCTGGAAAATTTGTTGCTAAGTAGTTACTAATGACATCACACCACCGACTGATTATATTAACATAAACAACAAACCCTATCAAGTAAGGGATCTACAAAATCTTTTGCCCAGAGAAAGAATTTCTAACACTAATTAAAGAGATAGACAGTTTCTCACAGAAACAGAGAGGCAGGGAAGAAAAAAGAGGCGCCTGGGTGGCTCAGTCAGTTAAGCGTCTGACTTCGGCTCAGGTCATGATCTCATGGTTTGTGGGTTCGAGCCCTGCATCAGGCTCTGTGCTGACAGCTAGCTCAGAGCTTGGAGCCTGTTTCAGATTCTGTATCTCCCTCTGTCTCTCAGAAATAAATAAAACATTAAAAAAAATTTTTTTTTAGAAAGAAAAAAAGAAAAACACTGGGAATCACTAATTAACAGGATGGATCAAAAAACTAACTTTGCAATGAGGTACCTGAGTGGTTTGGTCGGTTAAGTGACTACTCTTGATTTCAGCTCAGGTCATGATCTCATGGTTTGTAAGTTCAAATCCCACATCTGGCTCTGCAGTAGCAGTGAGGAGCTTGCTTGGGATTCTCTCTCTCTCAAAATAAATAAATAAATATTTAAAAAAATAACTCTGCACTGAAATCCCTCTGTATCAACATTATTTTGATTATGGCCAGCCTTATCTCCTACTACACCCAACAGAAATCCTCCACTCCTGACAAATTAATATTAATATTTACTGACATAAAGATTCACCTAACTTTCCAGTTTAATGTTTCTCCCATCCAGAATCCCCTTACCTTCTCTCTAACAATGCAAACTCCACTTCTTCCTGAAGGCATGCCTTCACATCTCCCTCTATCCTTCTATAGATGTGTAGTCCACAGAAGTCATTTGATAGCATCATAAAAATAATCGTGTTGAATGGGTCATTGTAATGATAAGATAAACAATTATAAAAGCACTCTGAAGGTTTCAAGGTTTTATTTTCGGAATAACTTTAGGTTGAAGCCACAAAAAAAAAAAATCAGTAATAAAAAACTGACTGCTAACGTAAACCAGATGACAAACTTTAGAAATGCCCTATCTAGAAAATACTTCTTCAGGAAACACTTGGATTATTGTCAACCCTCCATAGCAGCATCTTCAAAACAATGTTCCTTTAATTTAGAGTGGATTTATACTTAAACAACATTTCTGGGTTTTTGAAGTTATTTGGAAAATACATAAAGCCTAAAAAGCCAAATTAGACTAGAGATGTTTTAAATTATTTGAATAAAATACCATTTTCTGCAGGATGTTCTTTTTTTTTTTTTTAACTTAATATATTTTAGGGGCGCCTGGGTGGCTCAGTCGGTTAAGCGTCAGACTACTGCTCACATCATGATCCCGCGGTTAGAGGGTTCGAGCCCCAAGGCGGGCTCTGTGCTGACAGCCAGCTCGGAGCCTGGAGCCTTGTTTCAGATTCTGTGCTTCCTCTCTCTCTGCCCCTCCCCAGCTCGTGCTCTGTCTCTCTCTGTCTCAAAAATAAATAAACGTTAAAAAAAATGTTTAAATATATTTTAAATTTCAGCTGAATGTTAAAAATATTATCTTTATATTTATAAAGATACATTTTAAAGTGTGCAATACCTTATCGTTGACTATACTTATGATGTTGCTAGGCAATCTTCAAAGACCCTCTCCCTACCCATCACCCGTGGTGGAACACAATGTCCATTTGATAGGATCCCTTCAAGTTTATGGGCTTTTTAAAAGGCATTTAAAGGATTTAATCATTTTAACTTATGAAATGCAATGAAAAACTCTATGACAAGATGAAATCAAAGTATTTAGTTTCTAAATATGCTTTCTTCCTAAAATAATACTTAAAGCCCTGAGAAATGCCAGAATGGTGTAATGGAAAAAAGCTTGAGAATGAGAGATTTCAGCTATGATAGTGATTGCTAACATGTATTTAGTCTCCACTTCACACAAGCCATTACATTAAATGCTTTACATTAATTATTTTGTGTAATCCATAGGGCAAGCTAAGCAGATACTATTACTACAATTACCTTTGTCATCTCCACTGTACAGTTTAGACAGAGAGTTTTGAAAGATAACAAGTCCAAAGTCATAAGTGGTTGAGCAGGCATTCAAACCCAAGTGTTCCTGCCACTTGGAAGCGAGTGGCACCTGGACATAGTTAAATCCTTGCTCTTCTACTACTCGACTAATTTGCTTTGTGACTTTATGCAAGTTCCATATCCACTCTGGGCCTCCGTTTCCTCATAGGTGAAAATAAAGCAGGAGTGCTGAAGTTCCTTCCAGCTCTATCTAGCTTCAATATTATGAACCTTACAACCTCCCTGAGCTTCAAACAAGCCAGTGTCATTACTTCTTTTAATTGAATTCAACTACAACAGCATTTACGAGGCACCTTCTAAGTAAGTGGTGGGCAGCGGCCCAAGCAAGCCCAGGTCTCCGACCCTCTCTGCTCCCGCGCCCCTGGGTACCAGCAGGACCCTCGAAAATCCCCGGGACCGACCGGGGTCTTTTCCATTCCGAAGCCCCTCTGGCACACTCCTGCCTCTGGGCCAACCCCAGCTCTGATTTCGGTTCTACTGACCCTTCAGGTAGTCTCCGCTGCCCTGCGTCGAGAGACCGCGCGTCCCCGCTGCCCTGTCCCCCACAGGGGTCGTGTGGAGTGCCCCCGTCTGCGATCTTTCGGCGACTCTGCCTTTCGCCATGGCTGCTGCAGAGAAGGTGGAAGAAGAGAGATGATGCCGCCCCCTCTTAACAACACCTCCGCCTCAGGCTCCGTACAACACCAGGGGCCACAGCCACAACCACAGCCACTTCCGGGGCGACCACCTCACCTGAGACGACCTCAGCCCCGCGAGCACAATGACGCTCGGCTGAAACCTACAGCGCCCACTCCGAGTTAGCTCCGCCCCGCGCCACCCCCGAGCCTCGCGCGCTCACGCTCGCCCAGTAACCGCGAGACAAGTCAGGGCCCCGGCCCGCCCCATTCACTGCCCCGCCCCTGCCCACGACTGTACAGAGCATGCGCAGTCGCGGCCCCAGAGTCGGTCGTGGCTCGAGGACAGAGGCGTCTAATGCGCAGCTTTAATTATCCGGAAGTGCGGTCCCTAAGACTTCAAACCCTTTGTCCCGGCCGCCGGAAGTGCCCACGAGTGATCAGTCGGCGTTTCGCGGCGAATAGTGATTCAGCCTACTGACTTTACCAATTCCCCTAGCTGCTATCTTCACTCTGTGGGGTTTAGATGTTTCGCTGAAGATGTTGGAAGATATAAAGCCTGAGCCGAACCTATCGTTTAAGTGAAGTTGAGGATCAGAGAGGAGCTATAACCTATGAAGGTCACAGGGTGGCGGAAAAGGGTTTAGAAGCTTTCCCATTGCCTCTTCCTACCGCCCTTCGCTAGCAAACCCAGGTCAGCTCATTTAGCTTTTTCTTTAACTGAGCCCAAACGTGTCGTTTTTGACTGTTAACTTTTTCCACAGTTAAATCTCAGTGTTCATCTTACTCATAGGTGAGTGTATTGGAATTCCCTCTTGAAAGCAACTTGGCAGTCTATATAAAAATACTGTTCCTATCCAGTAATTATATTTCTAGGAAATTATTCCATGGAAATAAAGATACACAGGGAGTTATTCCTAACAGCGTTATTTATTAGTATAATGGTAAATGTGGAAGCAACCTGAAAGCCCAACACTAAAGAATGGTTAAGTTATGGGAGATTATTCAAGGGAACTGTTTTATGTACACAATCTCTGCCTACTTGCATTAAGACCTTCAGTGACCACTCTAGGAGGTAGCTCCCCATTTTTTTTCCTTCATGATCGTCATTAAAAGCAATAATTATTTGGGTTATTTGTTTACTTGTTCATTGTTTGCCACTTCGACAATGTGAGCTCTATTAAAGTAAGGGTCTGGTCTTTTTATTCACCATTGTATCCCCCAGCAGCTGACAGAGTGCCAGCATGTAAGTGGGCATTCAATAAATTCGTTGAATTAGTTCAACCATGGAAAAATGTATTTGTGAAGAGATTAATAATGTGGACAATGCTTATTTTAAAATTCAAAGTGGGGCGTGTGGGTAAAGCGACCAACTCTTGATTTCAATTCAGGTCATGATTTCATGATAGTTGGTGGGGATCAAGCCCCCAGTGCAGAGCCTGCTTGGGCTTCGCTTTCTTCTCTCTGTCCCTGTCCTACTTGTGCACTCACGCTAGCGCTCTCCCTTAAAATAAATAAATTTTTAAAAAATGAAAAGACAAAAATTAAAAAAAGTATAAAAAACAAAAATATTAAATACATAAGCAAGTAAATTTATATTTTTGGGATAGAGAAAGTCTTTTCGTTTTGTTTCTGTATTTTTACTTATTTCGTTAAGGTAATCTCTATGCCCAGCTTGGGGCTCAAACTCCTGACCCCAAGATGAAAAGTCACATGCTCCACCCACAGAGCCGGTGAGGTATCCCAGGATAGAGAAAGTCTTCAGTAAGATACAAGTATTTTTTAGCATTTGATACATTTTATTACATAAAAAAATTAAAAGTATACCAAAAGCACCAAAAGAAAAAAACCTCCAAACCTTAGGAATAGACTGAGAAAAAATATTGCCACATAAATAAGACTTAACTACAAATTGGGGCACCTCTCTGGCTCAGTTGGTGGAGCATATGACTCTTGATCTTGAGGTCGTGAGTTCGAGTCCCACAGTAGGTGCAGAGATTACTTTAATTAATTTAAAAATTAAATGATTACTAAAAATCAATAAGAAAAGCACAACTCATCAGAAGAACAAAGTGTATGAATAGTCAATTCTCAGAAGAAAAAGTTAAATAGCCAACAAATTAGGAGATAAACAACCTCATTAACACAGTGATAACACTGACTGAGAGGTACATAGAATGCGCTAGCAGAAGAGAGGGGTAGCTAAATTGGAATGGGTTCCATTGAAGGTCTCCTAGGTAGAATGAATATTAAGATGATTTAAAGGATAAATAGGAAGGGTACCTGAGGGGCTCAGTCATTTGAGTGTCCAACTCTTGATTTCAGCTCAGGTTATGCTCAGGGTGTCAGATAAAATCCCTGCATGGAATCTGCTTAAGATTCTCTCTCTCCTTCTTCCCCTCTTCTGCTCACAAGCTTGTTCTCTCTCTAAAAATAAAAGATAGTAGGAATTAGCAAAAGAAAGAGGAAGGAAACTTGCAAAGGCTGGAAGCTACTACTAATCTCTGAAAAATAAGTGCAAGCAAAGAGTTGGAGAATGGAAAGAAATGAGATGAGGGAGATAAGATAAAGGACTTGTCACAAAGTGCGGGAAGTATGAACTTAATCCTAGGAGATATCTGAAGTCATAGAAGAACTTTTAACTGGAAAGGGACATATTAGGATTTGTATTTACAAATCTTATTCTGACTTCTCAGTGATAGAATTGAGGAGTGCCCCAGTAGCAGCAGAAAGAGAAGGTAAGAAATTGTTATTTTTTAAATAATTTATTTTTTAATTTGCATCCAGGTTGGTTAGCATACAGTGCAACAATGATTTCAGGAATAGATTCCTTAATGCCCCTTACCCATTTAGCCCATCCCCCTCCCACAACCCCTTCAGCAACCTTCTGTTTGTTCTCCATATTTAAGAGTCTCTTATGTTTAGTCCCCCTCCCTCTTATATTATTTTTGCTTCTTTTCCCTTATGTTCATCTGTTTTGTATCTTAAAGTCCTCATATGTCCTCACTTAGCATAATACCCTCTAGTACCATCCATGTAGTTGCAAATGGCAAGATTTCATTCTTTTTGATTGCTGAGTAGTACTCCGTTGTATATATATAATACATCTTTATCCATTCATCAGTCGATGGACATTTGGGCTCTTTCCACACTTTGGCTATTGTCTATAGTACTGCTGTAAACATTGGGGTGCATGTGCCCCTTGGAAACATACCTGTATCCCTTGGATAAATACCTAGTAGTACAATTGCTGGATCGCAGGGTAGTTTTGTTTTTAATTTTTTGAGGAACCTTCATACTGTTTTCCAGAGTGGCTGCACCAGTTTGCATTCCCACCAGCAGTGCAAAAGGGTTCCTCTTTCTCCACATCCTACCCAGCATCTGTCATTGCCTGAGTTGTTCATGTTCACCATTCTGACTGGTGTGAGGTGGTATCTCATTGCAGTTTTGATTTATATTTGCTTGATAATGAGTGATGTTGATCATTTTTTTTATGTGTCAGTGGCCATCTGGAGATCTTCTTTGGAAAAGTGTATATTCATGTCTTTTGACCATTTCTTCAGTGAATTATTTGTTTTTTGGGTGTTAAGTTTGATAAGTTCTTTATAGCTTTTGGAAACTAACCCTTTGTCTGATATGTCATTTGCAAATATCTTCTCCCATCCCATCAGTTGCCTTTTAGTTTTGCTGATTGTTTCCTTCACTGTGCAGAAGCTTTTTCTTTTGATGAGGTCCCAATAGTTCATTTTTGCTTTTGTTTCCCTTGCCTCTGGAGACACATTGAGTAAGAAGTTGCTGCGGCTGAGGTCAAAAAAGTTTTTGCCTTGTTTCTCCTCTAGGATTTTGATGGCTTCCTGTCTTATGCGTAGGTCTTTCATATATTTTGAACTTATTTTTGTGTATGGTATAAGAAAGTGGTCCACATTCATTCTTCTGCATGTCACTGTCCAGTTTTCCCAACACCATTTGCTGAAGAGACTCTCTTTATTCCATTGGATACTCTTTCCTGCTTTGTCAAAGATTAGTTGGCCATATGTTTGTGGGTCCATTTCTGGGTTCTCCATTCTGTTCCATTGATCTGGGTGTCTGTTTTTGTGCCAGAAGATAAGAAATTATTATAAAACTGGCCTGACCCAGGGTAATGGACTGGAAACAAAGATCTGACATCAGATATAAGAAGATATATGAGAAAAACTACTTTTAAACTTTTATTATTGGGGTGCCTGGATGGCTCAGTAGGTGAAGTGTCCAACTCTCGATCTCCATCCAGGTCATGATCTCATGGTTTCATGAGTTTGAGACCAGAGTCTGCTTGGGATGCTCCCTCTCCAGAGCTCTCTCTGTGCTTCACATGCATACATGCACACACATAATCTCTCTCTCTCTCAAAATAAATAAATAAATATTTAAAAAACCACTTTTATTTTAATTACATAGTCATTCCAGAAAAATATTGAAAAAGCAAACTATCAGAAAAACATAAAAATCATGATATACTGTCATCTACAGATAATCATGATATTTGGGATTTATCCTTCTGCAATATTAGAAATGTTAAGGAAGTAGACCTAGGGGACTAATGCCCTAATTAGATAAGGATACTAAGTGAGAGGGAAGGGACTAGGGATTAGCAAGTTTCTGATTTAGAAGGCTGAGGGGAATATTTGTGCCTAAGACTCAGGAGATGAGTCAGATTGGAAGGAAAAATGCTGAATTTTGTTTTAGATACCCTCTATCTAAATTTTCTTAGTTCCTTACTCCTTATTTTCTCAGCTAACTGCTCTCATTATGGTCATCATTGGGCTTCTTTTAATTGGATTCAGTGGTCAGTTTTTAGTCATTTGCCACCTCTCTGCATTGCTTAATACATTAACTGCTTCCTTCTTCCTGGTTTCTATGACAACTCTCTGACTACTTAGTAAACTCTTGAAGGTAACTCTTCTTTTCCCCACTCCTTAAATGCTGGTTATTTCCCCCAAGATATTCACTGTCTGCTCAGTCTACAAACTTTCTCTAGGCAATCTTGGCCATGACTTCAAGTCACCACTTTTACATACACAGATGACAAATATTGATCTCAAACACTAGAATAAAACACATAAAGCTTGTTTATACTAGGGTGTACCACACACAAACACTTCAAACTCAGAACATCCAAATCTGAAATCAATATCTTACCTCCCAAAATGTATCC